AACAGCTATATATATATAATATTTAAAATGAGCAGTTTCATGTTCCAGTGTAGCAAGACTATCCAGATACTTTAGAGTATTGACCTTAGTTACTAGGTTAAAAATTTGTATTAGAGGATATTAGAAATGCTTATTTCTTTAACTTTCTGGTTAAATAGTGTTTTCTACAGGCAGAGAGTATGTTGTTTATGTCAGCAAACTATGTAGGTTTTTTATACCAGGCTGCTTGGTTGAAATTTCAAGAGCTCTTAAACCACATCTACTTAACGATGTAGGTTAAATTATTGTCTATCAATCAGGTAGATGCCTGAAGATCTTTCTGGAAACTTAACCAGTGACAGTTATTCATCTAACAATAGTATCTATTTCATGTCCCATCAAAATTGATCTTTATATGTTGCCTCACCCGACTCTTCTAATTTTTTCAGTTACTTAAAGCTTGTGCGCACTCTTCTTCATTATGACTTTGTACACTATTAGCTTGTTTAGTACTTTTTATCCTGTATAGGCAAAAAAGATAGTTTTGAGGCTAGCCTCTGTTTGAATTACTATCCAATTCAGAATGGGTAGGGTGTGAATTCATGGATTTTAGGAAGTTTATGATATACTAAATGCGAATGCAGTAAGGTGGCTGGTGGACATTCATGGACTGTCATGGACTGCCAGATTTGGAAGAGACCCAGACCAGTGTGTCATTTAATGTGATTGCTGAGTGTCACTTCCTGGGTAACTACTTGGGTAGGGCACTCAGTCTTTGTGTATGCTCCATTTCTCCGCAGCCCTGGTTATTTTGGCCTCATTGACCCTCCTTTCCTTGTCTTTTCAGAATGAAGTATTAGAGAATCACTTCCTGCCTTTAGCTGCCTGTCAGGTTAGGTAGGTTGGAGGCCTTGGATAAGCTGTTCTCTTATATTATTTCTGGGCTACAGAATTAGTGAGAAAGGGAGGATTAGTTTGTCATTTGGCCTAGAGTAAACCTTTGTTCCTTCAGCATAAAATTTGATGAAGCTTCACATGGCCCTCTAAAGGTTATTACATGAAAAATCTTTAGGTTTTTGTAGGCATATCAAAGTAGCTGGTAGTCACCTACTATTTCCATTCTCTCTGTAGAGAAATAAATTACGCAATCGAATATAAATTTACTTTTATATTAATAAAGTAGAATAAAGCCAATTACTTTAAAGCTTGAAGGGTTGAGGGGCTAAAGCATTTTAATGCTAAATTAAAATTGGAAATAGTCTATGATTTATAAGAAAAAGTAAGTAAAACTATATTGATCCCTTTAGCATTTATTTTATCTTAGAAATCATTATTAATGTTAGTTTTCAGTAGTGCTATAGTTGTAGACTGTAGTGAGGCAGGATGTCATCTGGTAACTTCTTCATAGTCTGGGTTTATTTTCTAATGAAGGAAATGCAGTGTGGCTTTTCTTTAGCTCTCTAATTGCTTGGATTTTAAATGAATACCCAAACTTTAGGAGGTGCTTCAATTAGGAAAAGATTTTATTTTACAAAAGGATTCATAAGAATTTTTAATATACAGCCTTTTTCAATAAATATTTAATCTTAAAATCAGTTATTTGACACTATTTTGGTTAGTGATCTGAGATACTTACCTACTTCTATTTGAGGATAACATTTCTCAGAAATGACATTACAGCTCAGTTTGTCTTTGTATTCTGTTTTTCAAAATTTGATTTGTCCGCAACTTTCTAGGCCTGGGCGTCATTATTTGTGGTACTTCTGGTCAGTGGGGTTTTTCCAGACTGTATAATGTAATCACTGCAATGAATATTAGTATTCATTATGAATTTTTCTGCCATTTGCTAAATATTCAAAAAGGTGGTGTTTTAGATGGTATATTTTATGATTAAATAATCACATAAAATAACATCTGATATTTTATATATGTTTAATATTAAAAACGACCCGATTTTTGGATTTCGGATTAATTTTTAAACTACAGAATGGTTTTCTTTAAATAATTCATTGGGGATATTGAGTGAGGAACATTTACAAGGTTTAGGGGAAACTTCCCATAAGAAAGACTCCTCCATATCATAAGAAAAGATTTTTAGGCCAAATTGGATTCTTTCAGAAATAAATCAGCTTTTATCTTTTATTATATGCCCCTTAAACACAGCTGAAAAGAATTGCTGGTGGAAGAGCTGAGTACATATTTTAAATTAAATGATGGAAAATGTAAAGACTATAATTTTCGTGTTGGAAAGATTTTGTGGATTCTTGTGAAATTGTATGATTGTTTTTATTTGCTTAATGTGGAATCTGTATTTGATTTGCTTAATATCACATCAAGGAATAAACTTTGAATGGAGCGCTGTATGTAGAAAAGTGTTGTTTTCCGTTGGCTTCTGCATCTGAACTTTTTAGTAGAACTTCAGGCTTTAATTTAATCTGCATTTGAACTCTTGAAGGCAGAAAAGTGGTAGTCCTTTCATGCTGGCTCTGGAACATAACATGTAATAGACATAGGTAAGAATCTGTCATTGGTACATCGGCTGCTTTTCAGGCCAGTGTTATTTCATGCTCCCTGAGCCTTCTAACATGATCCGGATTGGCCCAAGGTGCAGCGCGTTACGCTCTTCTAATCTGTCTATCTACTTTTAGGAGTGTGCAGACTGGTGCCTAAAATGGAAGTAGATGTTAATGGCGAGCCCAGAAGTTCCCTGAGCACCCTGCCCTTGCCTGTGGCCGAGGTGAGCTCCCCGGGAAAGGCAGAGGCGGAGAAGCCGCGCTGCTCCAGCACGCCGTGCTCGCCCATGCGCCGGACTGTGTCAGGCTACCAGATCCTCCACATGGACGCCAACTATTTGGTCGGCTTCACAACTGGTGAGGAACTGCTGAAGTTGGCCCAGAAGTGCACAGGGAGCGAAGAAAGTAAGGGAGAAGCTGTGCCTTCCTTGCGCTCCAAACAGCTGGATGCAGGACTTGCACGTTCCTCTCGCTTGTATAAAACCAGAAGTAGGTACTACCAGCCATACGAGATTCCAGCTGTCAATGGCAGGAGGCGAAGGCGGATGCCCAGCTCAGGAGACAAGTGCACTAAATCTTTACCTTATGAACCTTATAAGGCCCTCCATGGGCCTCTGCCTCTTTGTCTTCTTAAAGGTAAGAGGGCTCACTCCAAATCTCTGGACTACCTCAATCTAGATAAAATGAACATCAAGGAGCCAGCTGACACAGAAGTGCTACAGTACCAGCTTCAACACCTAACCCTGAGAGGGGACCGTGTGTTTGCTAGGAATAATACATGAATGACCTGCAGAGAGTGTAAACTAGTTTAGGTTAGCCTACGCTTGGCTAGAAAAACCCACTGTTGTACTCTGTACAGGACTCTTCACATTATAGATGGTTATATCAGCTAAGTGTTCCAGGAACATAAAAATTGTTTGGGTCAAATTTCGAATATAGAAATGAAATCACAGGTACTTGGGGGGAAATCATTCTAGAGCACGCAATTGCAAAGAAAACAATGTTGACCATTAATTCGTATAGCTTTTGAGCTAGGATAAAAGGCTCTGGTACAGCAAGATCATCTTTATGATTCTGACACTAGAATTGGGAATGTTATCTGCTTGGTTGTTGCTGACTTGGTATGATTCATTAGAAATTTATATCTTAAGTACTTAAGTACTTCTTTAATCTCTGTATTTTACTATCAAATGTATGTAATGATTTGTTTTATGAAATTTAGAACTTGAACATTGCTGAATTGGACCACTTTTTATTTTTAAATATTGAGTTTAAATATTTTATAACTGGTTTTGCACTGAAAAAAATTAACATTTCAGATTGACAAGAGAATAATCTTCACTTGCCTCAATAATATTATTGAGCAATGAATTTTTTATTTCCGCATGGAAAGTTATTGATCTCTATGGCTGTAAAATATTTCTTTATAGCATTATTAACGTGTGTCTTAATAAAAATAAATTTGGGATACAAAGTATTTATTTTACAATGGGTGGGGGGAAGCTTTTCCAGAAGGTTTCCAATAAGAAGTTTTCATAAATTGAAAAAGTTTCCTTCGTGCTTATTTTCTAATTTAAAATTCATCTGGAACTTTAAAATGGAAAGGATTCTTTTAGTGTGGATTATAGGCATAATACTGTTTGCATCTGAATGTTCTGTAAATGAATGGAACTCTAATAGAGGAACTCATGATTTTCTACTCTTGAATGCTTAATCGAAGTATGAAGTGATACCATTCAGCATGGCATTGGGTCATTCCAGTTTTAGTTTTGTGCAGCACACTCACTGAAATTCAAGTTTCTAGGATTAGCGTAGGAGCCTAAAGCGCTCCTACAGTTTTAATGGGTTAATCCTGGATTACTTAACAATTTATGTCAATTGCACTGGTTTAATTTGTTGCTAAAGAAATATTGCCCTGGCTTTAGTAACAAATACAGCTTAACTATTCTTGAATATATTTTGAAAAAAAAAAATGTATGTAACTTACCTTTTGTAAAAGTTTCTATTTCTTTTTTGACTCTTGAAGGTGCAATTTATTACTGAATTGGCATTTCTGGCAACATAGAACTGCTTATTTTAAATTTTATTTTTGGGGCTGTGAGTTTCTTAGGTGTTATCAATCTCGCTTATAATATAAGAACACCTTTTAATTGAGCGGGTCATTCCTGGTACAGTTTGACTCTTCTTTAGCCAGAATGAATGGCGAACTCTTTAGAGCAGAATAAGTATTAGAAACCCTAGGTACTCTTAATCAGCATTTATTATTATTTCACTGAGACAAACCATGTGAAAGAACCTTGGCCCATATCTTACTGGGTTGATCAGATTTCTTGGTGGGCTGGAAATCCTCAGCTGTTGATATTTTAAAGTAAATTGCACCTTTGTAACATATTGTATTGATGAATGATCACTAAGATTACTATATCTATACAGTCATTAGTTTGACAAGAAATAGAATCCTGTCAGATGCCAAAGAGTTGGGATTTTTACGTTTAATGATTAAACATCGTTATTTATTGATGATTTACCCTGTGGAACTGTATTATTTCTAACTATGAAATAAAAGGGTGATGTAAACACAGGTTGTTGTGCGCTGCTTTAAATGGGGTCTGCCATGAACAGGCTTGTTACTGTTCAAGAATTCCAACTAAGCACTTATTTTTAGGCCCCACTTTTGTTAATAAAAAGACAAAACTACTTTTGGTGCTCATTCACATTTCAAGGTAAAGGATGTATTCATGGCAATGATATGTATTCAGTCCACTAGGAAATACAACTGTGTAACTGAGATCTGTCCCTTCCTGTGTGCCTAATTTCTTGAGCTAAATAAAAATATGTAGCTTTTTGTTTTGTTTTGTTTTTACTTAAAGACAGATGAAACTGGCAAAAATGAAGGGGTTACAAGTTGGAGATACAGCATATTTGCTGTTTCCTGATTAGTAAATATATATAATTTTAAGTTTGGTTTTCTTGAAAGAGAGCTTTGAAATTCTAGGTCAGTAGTTTTCAAAATGTGTTTGTAGAGCCCTTTCATTAATTAATTCTTGCTTTCTCTGTACTCCATGGACTTGTGCTCCAATAGTAGATACTATCTTATCAAGAAAAAAGGTTAGGCTGGATCTCTTTCAGCTGGGGGGAAAAAAAAATCCCATTTCCTTTAGTCTTTTTAGTCTTTTAACGTTCTATTTTTAAACTCATTTTTCTTTTTAAGTTCAGTTTAATGTAATATTCTATACTAAACAAGATGTACTTTTGACCATATATCTTACAGTGCCTGCCTTTACATTGCGGTACTACATAACATTAATTTTTTCCCCCCAAAATACCATGTTTTAGAGAATCAACTAATGCATAAAGTAGCAACAGAATTTCAGTTTTTGCCTTACTCTGAGGTGAGCTTCTCTGCTCCTCTGACTTCTACCCAGCTGCACTTGTACCTCTGGTTCCAGGGCTCCTGTAGTCTTCAGTCAGGGAAGAAAAGACTACGGGGATGGATTAAAATGTAAACCCATTCAGAACCCTCCCCCCCCAGATCTGGACTGCTGCTCAGCTGGGCTACTGTTCCAGGCCCATTGAGTCCTGTCCATTGTTCCTTATGCCCTGTAATGCCCACGTATGGGTCACTGTGTCTTGTTCCTTCTTTTGAGACAGTCATTTAAATGATTTCAATATTTGAAGTTTCAGGAAGCTTTTAGAAGATAACATTAATTTTTAAAGGCAAATTGGTGTTTCACTAAAGAAAAAATATTTCTTGAGATTTTGAGAAAAGCAACCTATTTTTACTTATTTTCTCATTCTAACATACTTTTATATAGAAAGGCTTTTATTCCATTATAACCATTGAAAAATTTTTAAGGGAACTTTTAAATGACCCTGGCCTAAGTGCTTTGTTCTCAATCAGAGCAAGTGGGAGGAGAGACTGTCAGGCAGTTTATTAATGGCTTAAGTGCTCTAGAAGAGCTGGGGTAGAGAGAGCAAGGATGTACGATACTGCAGTGCAGAGAGGACAGCAAGTATTAAGTAAAATTGGCTTTTAAACAATATAATTTGATTAGAGAAATGGAAATTGATGAAGATTGCCTTGGAAATATAATAAATGCGATTAGAAAGCTGGAAGTGGAGGTTGTCAGCACTTAATGATGCACTTCACTTTATAATGTGCTTTTTAAAATAAGAATTATGAAATGGATTCTTTGATATTTTACATTAGAAGAAAATAAGAAAATGAAGGATTTTTCTGGCTGAGGAGAACAGTACTAGAAACAAATCAAAAGCAGAATGGGTTTGATTTGCTATGTTGAGTTTGCTGAGCCCCTAGGACACTTCATTACTCTAAGTAGGGTGCGGGGAGATGCTGACTTGGTCTTCTCACCATTGTGAAATGACTTTGTGCAAGGTCTTATTAAATCACTTCAGAGGAATCGTATCTCCTAAACATCACCACTGATCTTGGGTTGTCTTTGATGTACAGATTTATGGGACAGCATAGGATGAGAAAACTTTTAAACGGAAGATGCAGCATCAACGGGAATTAAAGAGAGTAGCTGCACAGTCAGTGGAATCCTTAAGTGATCCTGGCTGAGGCGGCTTCAGGAATGAAGAGCTCTGACGCTTTTTCTTTTATGGAAAAGCTAGCAGCACTTTCAAAGTTC